AATAAATGGTCACTCAACTTCAAAGTGCTTTACATACTTCATCCCTGAAACAACACTATAGTGTGTGTATTATCTTCTCTTACAGATTAGTGGTGTCACCTCTGCAGTCACAGGAAACTATAAACAATTGCATTTTTAAAAAGTCATAGTACAGTTCCATTATTTTGCCACATTGTTCATAGGCATGTTTAAAACCATTATTGCCAGTTTCAACAAGCATATATCCATGCATTACATGTTCTAATTTTAAAAAACAACAACCACTAAACACGATCAAAACCAACAAGCTCTATCAAATGGAAAGTACAGTCACATCCAGCATTGCCCCCCCCCCCCCCGCCCCAATCCCCATCTCATCTCCCATCTGCTGCTCTGGCATATCAATATATCTACCTAATGTTCTCTGTACTGCAAAAAGGGCTTCTGAAATGATTTCTACTAGGGTACTAACAGTGGTTAACACCCTTTAAATTAACACATACAAAATGCAAACTGTGAACACAGTTTAAATTAGCTGTGACAACATCTAAACTGCTTTTCAGTTAGCCAAAATGCTGGGGTGCAACAGAGGAGGAGAGAGAACAGCTCTGCCAGTAACTGACTCTGTGACGGTAAGTCGCTGACTTCACAAGAACTCCATTTTTCCATCTATAAAATGATTGTGTTGATGATAATATCCATAGTTCAGTATCTGAAGGTAACAATATGGTCTCTCTCCCCTTCCCTCTAAGGTAGGACAGCTCCTCAAATTAACCCATGTGTCCTTGTGTGGGGTGCAGGAAACAGCGAGCTTGTTCTCCAAGAGTTCCCAGTTCAATTAGATAGGGAGACACATATGTAAGGATTACATGAGGACACACCACCTTGCCAGGCACTTCAGGTTGAGATTTGTAGGAGACAGGTACTGGTACTCCTCCAAGAACTTTTCAGGAGAATACCTGAGATATTGAAGCCATCCACTTCTTAGCCTTCTCCAGTGCCATCACCCCAATCCAAGCCCACCGCGTCTCTCACTTGGAATACCTCTCATTGGCCTGCCTGCTTCCATTATTGCCTTGCTAGAATCCATTCTCTACACAGCAATCCAGAATGATCTAAAAGATCTATCAGATCACTAACTCTTCTGCTTAAACACCTCCTCCAATCATTTCCAAATACCCACAGAAGACAAGTCAATCTTCTCTCCATGCCTGCAAGGCTCTTCATTTATTTTTTCCAACCTCCTTTTGTGTCACACATCTGGCCCACCTGGATCCCTGGGGAGAAGAGCTTGTTTTCACTTCAGGCCTCTGCACTAGCAGTTGCCTCTATCTGGAATAGTTTCCTGGAGTCTTTCCAGAGTTGACCCCTGCAGGTCGCACGTTAAATGTCACTTTTGAGAATGGTCACACCTGATCACCCTTTTAACCTAGTTGTTGGTAGCCCTTCCCTGTCACTCTCTCTTACATTCTATCTAGTTCATTCTCAGAACTCAATTAACTTCAGAAATTAATCATGTTCTTTTTTGAAATTATTTTATTTACTGATTGATTGCACACAATTGCTTCTCTCTCTCCCAAGTAGGATTCAGGCCTTCCTCTATAGTTTGATGCTTAAAAGGTATCAAATAGATACTCGTTGGCCTATCATACATATCTCTCACGTCTGCTAGAGTTTTATCAACATCTCAGTTGAAAAAAAAAACAAAAAACACATTCATAAAGAACTGCCTGAAGAAGCTGTAGTTCATCCTTTCCTCTATGGTTAGATTCTTAAAGCAAACAAGCAAAAAAAGTTTGCTCTGAATTAAGGCAGACCAGCAAAGCTATTCACCTAAACCACATAGTCTATTGGCTTTAGAATGCTTTTGAAGTTGTGAATTCACTTTCTTTGACCTAGTGAATGATGTACTAAGAAACAAGCTCAATGATCGTCAGTGCTAAAATGAAGTTAATGATAGGCTTTTCTTTATAAAGATTAGCTTTTTCTCCAGTGTTTAAATCACAAAAAACTGCTTTCCTGGTTTTCTAATATTGCCTTCTCTCATAAACATTAGATCAGCTCCTGCCTCGTTCTTAATAAATGTACCAGACTTTACCCTATGATTTTGAGGATTACCCCCACTTCTAACTTCCTCTTGTTTTTCCAAGTCTCCGTGTTCTTTTTGCCCTGCTTTTTCATCCATTTATTTTATGTTTACTCATTATGGTGAGCTGCCTTAAATATTTGCTAGAATAAGCCAAATAAGTTAAGTATTAAGGGCTACGGCAGCAATATACATGAAGTAACATGGTTACAGGTGAAAGACGAACTGTTCTAGAAAAGGGGAATAGATGAGGTAGGCCTTGAGAAATAAATGAGCTATCTCCAGGCAGAGAAGGGCAATCGGGCAGATTAAAGAAAGGGGAAAAAAGTGCAGTTCTCACTAAGGAAATTGGAGATCAGTAAACTAGCTCTTACATTTAACAGTACTTACTGAACATTATGTGTCAGAGTCAGTGCAAAGCACTTTACAACTTTTAATGCATTTAATCCTGAAAACAACCCTGTGAGGTATATTTTATTATTATGCCCATACAAAGAATGAAACTGAGGCTCAGAAAGGTTAATTAACCTGCACAAGGTCAGACAACTTGTAAGTGGCAGATCCTGTGGCCTCTCAGGATGTGGGGGGCATTTGACTGCAGTCAGTAACTTGACTAGAACACATCTTCCCTTCTCATCTTCTGACAAAACCTTTCTCTCCTTTGAAGTTCTCTACCTCAATAAATAGAGAAGTAGCACTAACAAGCATTCAGTCACTCAACTCAGAAACCTGGGATAATCCTTGATCCTTCCCCTCATATCCACTCAATCACTGAAGTCCTGACATTTTCCCTCATGAATTTCTCTGTCTCTGTCCACTACTCTGCATTCCCTCTTCATTGGAGCTCCCATTAGCTCTTATTAGGACCACAGCAGTAGTAACTGAGACAGTATTCATATTGGTGAAAGGCAAGAACTCTGGAGCCAGACCACCAGGATTTGACCTTACTACCTGTGCCCATACAAAGAATGAAACTGAGGCTCAGAAAGGTTAATTAACCTGCACAAGGTCAGACAACTTGTAAATGGCAGATCCTGTGGCCTCTCAGGATGTGGGGGGCATTTGACTACAGTCAGTAACTTAACTTGAACACATCTTCCCTTCTCATCTTCTGACAAAACCTCTCTCTCCTTTGAAGTTCTCTACCTCAATAAACAGAGAAGTAGTAACACTAACAAGCATGGATAAGTTACTTAATATTTTTGTGTCCCAGTTTCATCTGTAAAGCAGAGATAACAATTAGAACACTGTTTGACATACAATAAATGCTAGGTAAATATTAGAAATGGAAGAGGGAATCTAACTTCTCACTTTCCCTTGTCTCATCATTATTCACAAAGCAGAGTGACGCCGTCATTTTTTTTTTTTTTAACGCAAATCTCACCACACCACACCAATGTTAAAAACTTTTTAATGGTTTCCCTTGCCGTCAAAAATCTTTGGCTCATAACGTTCTAAATTCTAGCCAGTATTTGTCATCTTTGAGTTGTTCAACACCCTGGGCCTTTGCACAAGTCATTCCCCACCTGGAATACCAGTCCATCTATTTATTCTCTATAATGGGATTAAGGATAACTTTTCCAGGGAGGATTTCTGATCTCCAAGAATGAATAAAGAAATCTTTGTTACACCTTTCTACAGTTCCCAACCTTGTACTTCCCCTCTGGTAACACTTGCCAGGCCTAAACTAATTATCCAATGTGTCTTTTCCACCAGACTGTAACCTCAGAAGGGCAAAAGGTCCGGCCTCTTGGTTCTGGGCTGTAATCCTAAAGCCTAGACCAGGTGGGATGAATACCACCTGGATTAATTAAACAGTAATGAAGCCAAGTTAAAATTTCCCTCAAAGTTCCTGGATCTTTAAGCCCCCCCCCCCCCTTCACTATTCCTTACCGCACCAAATTTGTGCCTATTGCTTTCTTCCCATTGCCTGGCCCCTTAATGTGGAGACCCTGTCTACCCCCAACTCTTCAGAAGTGTGCTCTACACAGGTATCGGTGGCTACTAGTCACTCTCTCTTGAAACAGGCCCAGAGCTCCTAGATGTCCCCCTTCCCAGATGTCAGAAGGCTTCCTCCCTCCTTAACTGGGTACCTTCTTAAGTCCTCCCTCCAGTTGCCCATCATGCTTGTCCACCTTCCCCAAGGCGTCAGGCTATTTTATTTCTGCTCTCAGTGCAAAGACCACCCTCTGGGCCCCTCCTCAAATAGGCCACCTTCCTAAACTGCCCTCACAACTTCCCACAAACCCGGCCTGTGCCTCGCCCCCACCCGTTGCAGCAGACGAAGCACACCCCCCCCCCCCCCAGCCATACACACTCAAGCACCCTAGGTGGCCCGTCCCCACGCAGGCTCCTGGTCTCGCGCACCCCCGCACTCACCGACCGTCCTGCGGACACCGGGCCCACAGCCCTCTCAAGGCCGTCCCGGCGCCCTCTCCCCGGCCCCAATCCGAGCGGGTTCCGGGCCTCCCTGCGCTGCACCCCACGGTGGGCTCTTCCCACTCCGTCCAGAGGCTCCTCCAGGGGTCACCCTCTGGCCGCCGACACCCCGGCACACGCGTGCTGGAACTTCGCTCCCCCCCCCTCCCCGGCCGGCCCGAACCCCGCCCCTGCGGGTCCCCGCTGCCCTCCTGCAGCACACGCCCTCGGGACCCCGGTGCGGGCCGCCTCCCCTCCTCCCCTTCCCGGCTCCTCGGGGCCGCCACCCCATCCCGCGCCCGCTCCGCACGTCCTCCGCCAGCCTGGACCCCTTCCGGGTACCAGCGACCACCTCCCGGCACAGCCTGCCAGGCCCGGCGCGGCCTCCGGGGAGCGGCCGGCGAGTCCGCGAGCGCCGGGGCTGTGCCGCGGCGGCCGGGGGCTCGCGGAGGCGGCCGTGCAGGCCGGGGGCAGGGGCGGCCCGGCTCCCGGAGCGGGCCGGCGGCGGGCGCCTCACCGTCAGTCACGGCTCCCATGGCGTGCGCGGCGGCGGCGGCGCAGGCTGAGGCGGCGGTTGGCGGCGGCGGAGGTCAAACTCCCACAATGCAGCCGGGTAAACAGCCATGGAGGCGGAGGCGGCGGCGCCCGCGGCCGCCCGCTTCGACGCCTGAGCCGCGCCGCGCCGCGCCGCCGCGGGACCCGCGCTCCCCGCGCTGCCCGCACTCCCGGGGGCGGCCCGGCCGGCGCGTGTGGGCGCCTGGCCTGCGGGGGCGGCCCCAGCTGCACCCCGGCCCCGCCGCCCCCTGCCGCAGCCCCGGCCCCGCCGCCCCCCTGCCGCCCCCGCCCGGCCCACGCCCAGAGGCCGCCCCGGAGGCCGCCGCCAGCCGCCAGGTGAGCTCTCCGGGCGCGCCAGTGCGGCGAGGGCTGCGGCCGCCCGGGGTCGGGGCCCCGCGCCTTCCCGGGAAGGGGACCGCGGCCCCGGCCGCCCCATCCGGGCAGCCGCTACCGGGGTGTGCTCGTCCCCCAGGGGTGGGGCGGGCGGCGGGGGCGCCTGGACTCGGTTGAGCCCGGGGGCCGTGGGGCGCGGCGCGAGGGTCCCCGCGAAGTTCGCGCCCACGCGCGCCGGGCGGGTCTCGAACGCGCGCACTTGCACCGGGCGCGGCCGGCGATCGGGAAAGGCCCGGGGTCCCAGGTGGCGCGGTGCGGGCCCGGCGGCCGCCCCTTCCCTCCGGGGTGCCGGCGGGTGCTGGAAAGGGGGAAAGAAACTTGGCGACCTCCGGGGAGAGTTCGCGGCGCGTGCCCGCCGTCCGCACCCGTCGTCCTGGCGCTGGTCAGGGATGGGGTGCTTTTATTTATTTATTTATTTATTTATTTATCTCTCTGATTAAAAAAAAAATGTCTATGTGACTGTCCCCATCTTAAGGGGAAGTTGAAAGTGAGGGAGGAGGGAGGTGCTTAATGAGAAACGTTGCCTCTTGTGTAGTTACACATTTCCGGAACATACCGCGGATTATATTGGTATCTCTTCCCAAAAGTCACTTTGATTCCATTTCGATGAGTTTCTCGCAAAGGGCAACCTTAAGTGGTGAGAGGTGAGGGGAAGAAAGCGCCAATACAGCTGATTGATCTCCAGAGGGACAAATTCAGTTAGCCACAAGCAGGGGTCTGAGTTTCGAACTCAGGTTTGATCTTTTATTGAGCATGGAGTTATTTTCCAGTTTTCTTGTTCCCCGAATACTCTGCCTCCTCATTTCTGGGATAAAGCAATTAATGTAGGATGAATGTGGTTGCTTTGGTTTTCTTACTGAAGTTGGCTTCATTTTCCCTGTGTACCCCAGTTCTTTCAAAGGGAAAGAGTTGTAAATGCAGCTATATGACAGTGAAGTGGTTTAAATTTAACCTCCAGTTAGAAATCAGTATATGTAAAATTTTATTCATATATACCAGATCAAAACTTCAATAATACTCTTAGACAGTACTCTGAATAATTAGTGTCTTTGACTTTTGGAACAAAGGCAACAAGAGAAAAAAGTTTGAGTGATGATTTTGAGGTATAACTTTTCCTCCTCCAGGGTGTGAAACCTCCCCTGGCTTTGAAATAATTTTGGCCTAAGCACTACTGCCCTGTGCCTCAGTAGCTGCTCGTTCTCTTGGTTTTTAGAAGGAGGGAAGATACTCGAACCAAAATAATTACTTTAAATCTTAAGTACTACAAATTATAGGTTGAAAGTATCAATTGATTATCTGTATATCCCAAGTGGCACTTGGGTGGGGATCATTATTGTTTAAAAGGTAATTGTCAAGTAGTGAAATGCAGTTCTTTTTTAAGTTACTTGGTCTTATCAACATAATACTGATTTTGAAACAGTATCTAGTAATTTAAAATAATCTTTAGCCCTAGCAGATTGAGGGTTGGACATATACAAAAAGTAACCAATGACTGCATAAATAAGTGGAACAACAAATCTCTCCCTCTCCTCCTGTCCCCATCTCCCCCTCTCCCCCTCTCCCCTTTTTTCCCTCTGTTCCTCTCCCTCCCTCCTTCCCTCCCTCCCTCTCTCTCTAACTCAAATCAATAATTTTAAAAATCTTCTATGTTGTTTACAGACAAGTATCTCTGCCTTCAACTGTTAAATTTCCATGAGCCTTTCTATTCATAGATGGAGTTCTTGCTACTTTTGTAAGTTCCTTTTGTAACTTACAATTTTGTTGGACATTGCTGGGAATGTTCTAAAGTAGTAAGACCAAGAGAGAATGAAAAACTTTAAAGTTTGAGATATACCTGAAAAGAAACATTTCTGAAAGTCCTTAACTCAAGTGGTAGGTAACACATCAAAAGTTGAGCCCTCATGAACTTTTAAAAATCTGCTTTGGCCCTGGCCGGTTTGGCTCAGTGGTTGGAGCGTCAGCCTGCGGTACAGAGAGACCCGGGTTCGGTTCCCGCTAAGGGCACTACCTCGGTTGCAGTTTGTCCCCGGCCCTGGTTGGTCGTGCGGGTGGCAGCCACTTGATGTGTCCCTTCACGTCGATGTTTCTCTCTCTCTCTCTTCCTCCTGCTCTGTCTGAACAAAAAATGGAAAAATGTCCTCGGGTGAGGATTAAAAAAATAAATAAATAAATAAAAATCTGCTTTGTCAGCCATATAGTTTAACTCCCAATTGCATTGACATGGATCGTTGTGTTGAACATTTAAGAATTATTTTAATAGACTTCTATTCATATCATATATAATGAAAGAACATTTTTTGGTAAATTTTAGGAGTGGTCTGTTTTTCATGTAATCAGTTATATTTTAACATGTTCATGAATGTTAAAGTAGGAAGGACTCAAGCTCTAGACCATACTAACATTTTTTTCTTTTCTAGGGAAATCTCTGAGCAGAAGGAAGTAGCAGATTTTAAGCTATGTCAAACTGATTTGGACTTTGAACTTACATGACCTTAGATTTGGTGATTTACTCAAGTCTTTAGATTCCTGGTTTCTCTGAAACTACAAGAGTCTAGATGAGAAAGTTTGAGTGTTTATTTAATTTTGGCTTTCTGAAACTATAAAGGATGATGAGAGAACTAGGTATATGATCTTTACCCTGGTTCTTTGAAGTGATGTAGGCGTTTCTATAGTATACTTTTAGAGCAAGGGTTATCCTGGGGTCTGTGGACCTCGAGGGGTCCATTAATAGGATTCAAGATATTCCTGAACCCCTACCTATCATAACCCAAACTTTTCCTGTGTGTGTATTTTTCTGGGGAAAGAGCCTATAGTTTTGTTATATATCTCTAACTTTTGGGGGCCCTACACCTCTCTCATGTTTTTATTAAATAAAATGGGGGTAATTCTTAAGAGGAAAAGTAAATCTTTATATTTAATACTTGCCCTTTATTTTTTTATTTATCTTTTTTAATCCTCACCTGAGGATAAGAGAGAGGAAGGGAGAAGGGGGGAGAGAGAGAGAGAGAGAGAGAGAGAGAGAGAGAGAAACAAACATCAATATGAGAGAGACATGGATTGGTTGCTTCCTATATGCACTCTGACCCAAGATTGAACGCACAGCCTGGGTATGTGCCCTGACCAGAAACTGAACCTGCAACCCTTTGGTGCACACAATGATGTTCCAACCAATTGAGCCACACTGGCCAGGTCAATACTTGCCTTTTAAAGTTTTCTTTAGCCTATTCATGTGGTCTTAGAGGTGCAAGAAAGCACTTCCATTTTGTTCCCACAGCAAAGTGCTGCCTGTTAGTTGATAAACCACACACATAAAGGCTTGACATGCTTACTTGAGTGCATTGTGGCTGTTTTTAAATTATATTTTAAAATTTAGAACAGAAAGATTGATTGTCCATAAGCAGGGACTTGAGCTTGACTACCAGCCCCTGGGGCAAACATTTCATTCAGCTCCACGCTCTTATTATTCTCTAGCAAATCTGAAATTTGACTGGGAGGTAATCACTCTAAGAAAATGTGTCTGTGCCTTGGCAAGATAGGGCATGATGGGAAAAACACAGATTCTGAGTTAAAACAGACAAGTTCAAATCTGGGTTCTTTTATTTACTGTCACCCCTTGCCTGATCCTCGAGTTTCTCCTCTGGATAAAGCTTACTTAGTAGAGATGTTGGGAGGCTGGCCTGCAGTTTCTTGTGTAAAACTCTGAGCCCCTCCTTTGTCTCACAGGGAGGACTTGGAAGCTGGATGTGGGTAGCCATTAATAAACATCCGAGTGGGCATGTATAAACATGGTATATGGTACTGATGTACATTATTTTCAAATAAGTGTGGTGAAAATATTAACAAATTGAAACATTTTTTAAAAATTAAGTTTTCAAAAATGAGTTAGGATTTAGCTGTCCTTACATTGTGGACATTTGGGGGAAAGTTGAAGGAAAATTGTGGTGCAGTTGACAAAGCTGAGGATATGGGTGCTGGGCAGAAAGAAACAATAGCCACCCACCAGCATATAGCTCTCTCTTTGGGTGAGATTCCATTTCAGTTTTTGCTCTTTACTTGTAATTTAAATGAAAAATCTAAATTAAAAAACCACACATGTACTTCCTGTCCATCACCTCTAAAAAAGTTTGTTCAAAAATAAAAAAAAATAAAAAACTTTTGCTCACCCCCCCCCTTCTTTATGGGACACAGGTACCCCAGGGGTTTCATTAGTGAACGTTATACCTATAACTTTGGCTGTCTGATTCTGACGGCTTTAAAAGGCCTTCACAGTTGGGTACCTATACCAGTTTTTCTCAGTAGGGAAAAGGATATGGAAGAACTGAATTGTATTATGAGTAGAAATGTGAGAGATATATACATACGGTGCTTACAATGTTATTGCCATAAAAATATAACATGTTTCGACTATTTTTGTGGTTTTTCCCTTTTCCTCTCATCTATTCATGGTGAGCATTCATGCTTTTTGCTTTCAAGTGAGGTAGTGGTAATGAACACAACTTTAGACTCCTGGGTTTAGACAGCCTGGATTTGACTTCCATTTCCTGAGCTTTCTGGTTGTGTTCAACTTGGGCCAGTCAGCCTCGCTGAGTCTGGAAGAGACGATCGGTAAATAAGATAATAAATACAAAAGGCTTTGCTTAGT